AATAAAGTCATGGTTGGATAAATAGCAGAGTGTTAAGCTCTCATATATATGTGTATATATATATATAGATATATAGATATCCGAGATGAAGATTACACTTGCCTGTGTGGCATTGATATGGTCCACTGTGTCAAGAGGACATTGTTTTTGAGTTGGCTCATTTGCATTTGGATTACAGATGAGAGGTGCTAGTGGACCTGATTGATTGTAATACACTCCTGAATCTTTTACTTCTTTTGGCGTGTTAGGATTGTTGATGACGTTTTTAATGTCATCGTTGTTGGCAATATCTTTGATGAACTCATTCACCATTCCATCCATTTGAGAAGTGACTAATCTTGTCACGTTGAGTACCTTTTGGCCAGTTTCACTGTCCCAACAAGGGAGAACGTCACTCAGTGCGGAATCAGCTGTGGGGTTTTGAGCCCATTCGTCCATTGCAAGACATGCGTCTGCAACAACACTGTGTTATGGTGAAAATTGATAAGTTAGCTACCAAGCCAAATTTCCCTCCTACAGTTTTCAACCATGTGAAAAAAGCAACAAATTACTTGAATATATCTATAACGCCCAGCCAACCTACTTTTCTCTATAGAAGTGTCGTTTAGACTCTCCCCCTAGCTAGTCTGAGCAATTGCTTGAGTCAGAAACGTGAGATATATGAAGGTGAACATAAGGGTATCAAGAATTATAAGAAGAATGCCAGAAGATAGATTAGAGAACCTAAAGTTTTACGTGATTTGGAGTATCTTACTTGTGGAAAATGAGGAATACACCACACAGGAGACATGTGAGCGTAACCAGGATCCACCCTAATACCACCAGTCTGCAGTTATATCAGGAGAGTTTGAAAATGAAAATGAAGAGAAAACTATAAAGTCATAGTAATCAAATGAAAAGAGAAAATGATGGAAATGATATTGAATTAAGTAGCTCAGTCACTCACATGTGGATGCAAAATCGCATGCCAAGAACAGAAAACACTGGAACAGTAATCAAATTAGTCAGGAGATACATCATTAAACATCAGCTTTTAGATTATAAGGTAGAACATATAAATATAATTTGATGGCAGGAGGCTTACAAAACCCGAGACATATCAAGACGAGCATAAGGGCAGCAAGCACTATAAGAGCAGTTCTTCTGCAGGGAAGAACAACATATTGATTAGCAACTAACCAACTCTCTTCATGAATGTCCACGCGATCAAGAACAAACTTAAAAAAAAAAAACAAAAACAAAGAGTAACACGAATCACTTACGAGGGCTCCACAATTTGTCTTACATATTGTGTTCTCTCCAGTGATTTAATTTCAGGAAGGTTAGCAAATTTATTGATCATCGAGTCGACATCGTCAATGGTATTTTTGATATCAATAGGCAGAATATTATCAGCCACCTTAATCATCTTAGCTGATGAAAGATACTGGACTAAGTTTATAAGGCTGTGGAATATATTCAGTCCTTGCTTTACAATATATTCCAGCGTATCTCCTACACTGTCATGGAACCTTCCCTGTCCAACATACAACACAGCACATCCACAGCTGAAACCAGGAAACAAGTTACAAATGAGATGGCAAAGAAACCTCTAAATTACATAAAGGAAAGTGAAAGAAAAGAGACGGTGGGAAGGATGAAGGACTTACATAGCAGCAGAGGTGAAAAGAATGAGAAAGGTGAGATAACATGCGTAAGCAGTTCGAGAATAATCAGTGGGCGATTTGTGGCCGCAGCAGAAGGAGCAACAACAACAAAGACATCGACACAACAAAAACAGCCCCCATAGCAAAAACCAGAGGGCTGCAACGAGGACAAAAGGAAGAGCAGTATACACAACAGACTGCATTGAGAAGGAAGCAGCTTCTTTAGAATTAAGTGCAGAATTAGCCTATATTATATATTTTAATTCCATTAAATAATTCACAATATAAATATATCATTTTTTATTCAATTTCCATTTTACCAAGTTTAATTCCATTAAAATACAAGATCATCCTTTACCATCAACAATGATACATGCAAGTACTTGTGAAATTAGTCAAATCAAAAATTTAGATACTCATATTATCTAAAAAAAATAATGAAAAATAAATAAATAAAGAAAATGAACCTTACAGCGATGTAATGTTTGTTTAAAAGATTCCATCCACCGGTATAATACTTCAAGCCATTAAGAGGGTCCTGCCTCAGGGTCCGATTTGCAGCCAATATAAAAGAATGATTTGACAAACTAGCTTCTTCCCATTTTCTCCTTAAAGCATTCAAAACATACGGAACTCCTTTGACAAAGAAAACATAACCAAATACAACAGAACATTTTTTTTTTTTGCAGATGGAAAGAATTAGACGAGAATGTTTCACAAAAAATACAATACTTACAAAGAGAGCCCAGAAAATCAAGACATCCTAGCGTTTAAGACGTCCATCACAGGCATCCATTCAGTGAGTCTCAGGAATAAGCTCCATGTACGTATGCCCTGTAATGGACGTCTTGAGCGCGCAGGACTCCTTATTTTCATATTTCTATACCTACAAATAATCAATTAATCAAATAATACCTTGAAATTGGTCTACTTCATCCCGTCGAATGGCAACCTCTTGAGGAGGGGATCCAAAAACGAGGGGAAGGAAGGTGGATAGAATGAGAATGAAAGCATGGATCAGGACGAAGAGCTTCTCCATGGTGCAGCTCGGATTTGGGTCCTCCGACTGAGCAAATTATGTATAGGGTGGACGCATGTAGGAAGATTGAAAGCGGGTGGATTTTGATTCAGGAAGAACGGGACCTGTTCATGATTCATGAAACAGGTCGTTTTTTTATTTTTTTGTCCTCCCTGAGATTTGTGCCTTCAAATTGTATTAATGTTCCCTTCCCCGTTTTTTCTGTTTCCTGGTGTTTGTTAATAAACGATGGCTATGGCTTATATTTCGCTTGTTTTGTGGTGTTCGGGAATTTAAATAAATAAATAAAGAATTAACCCTTTGTATTTTGTAATAGGAGGGGATTTTTCTTTTTTAAATTAAAATCTCATGTTTCTCGCTTTATTTTTTTTATTTTATAATAAGAGACAATTACCTTTCACTTCATCATGTGTTTTATGATTCAAACTTAAAATTTTTTATTTTTAACAAAAAAAAATTAACCACTAATTTATTTAAATTATTGGTAACTCCATTCTTTTTAAATTATCACTTTGATCTCCAATGATGTCTTCGGGCAACTGTAAAGACTGAGACCCGAAATTTAGGGGTATGATTTTGACTTTTTTCTTATTATGTACATTTGTGTATAAAACTGAAATCACATATCTTAATGTTATGAATTTTACTGTTTTTGTGTTGCGTAAAATTTATATATCATGCTTTATACTATATTTTTTTTACTAAAAAACTTATGATTTTGACAGTTTTAAACAGTAATTAAAAGTTTTTTTTATCAAATAAATCTACTTGTACTATAATAAATTTCATACCATGTAAAAATATATAAAATTAAAGGTATGTGTAAAATTTTTTTTACTAATTTTAAATTTAAAATTTAAAATTTTTAATATAAAAATTTAAACTCTTAATTTCTGAATTTGTCTCCTATGAAATTTAACTGAAGATATTTTAATAAATAAACGATATACTGCATCAAATAAAAGGATTTACATCAAGGGGAAGAACCCCATAAGTATCAACCATACGGAAGTGAATAACGGAGGGTGGACAGTCCTCAAAAATAACAAAAGGCTTCGAAAGAGGGCACCCTATTTTAGCAAGTTGTTCCGCACACATATTGGCTTCTTTGACAACGTGAGATAGCTCAACATATATTCAAACAACTGCAACATGTCCCTACAATCCAAAATTAAAGTGAAAAGATAGTGAGTAGGTGAAGCCCTCTGTGTGTAATCAAATACATGGCAATAGAGGAGTCAGATTCAATATACAGCCTATTGAGACCGCTTTGGATCGCCACCTGCATGCTGCCCTTGATATCCCACATCTCAGCAACTAAACTGTTAGCAATCCCAACATTCCTAACATAATTTGGCACCCAATTATCCAGGTGATCACGGAAGATAGTAGAAGCGTTTCTTTAGACAAAAATCCCAACATTCCTAGAGAAAACAATTTTCAGTCGATAGTAGAAGCATTTCATTTAAAATTAATGAGGTTTTCTTAAATTTATTTTATTATTTATTATTTATATTTTTTATATATATACCATATATTTTTTAACAATATATTTGAGTTGAGGCAAGGAAAATGAAAGGGAGGGGAGCATAGAAATTTTCTTTACTTAATTTTTTAAAATTTATTTACTTATGTAAATTAAAAAAAAAAAGAGAGAGAGAGAAGGGAGGAGAATAGAAAGAAATGAAAAGATAAAATTTTCTTTTAATCTAAAAATTCGGTTAAAAAAGGGATAAATATTGTAAAAACATAGATTAGACCTGAAATGGAGGATATGGTTATGGTCACCACTCATAATAGTAAGGCTACTTAAAATTAAAAAAGTTTATAGTTTTTAAAAATATTGATTTTA